CACAATAGTGTTTTACTTACAGAACAGATATATGAGTATGAAGAGCTCACAATAGTGTTTTACTTACAGAAACCCCACAGATATTCGATTCTCATAATTCAAGCCATTAGACATTCCCAAGTCACCAATATGATCACCTAGAAGTAGCACATTAGTCCTCTGCTTCACTGAGGCATTGTCAGTAACTGGTCCATCAATATCACCCAATTGATCATGAAGAGGTGCAGCCATATCAAGAGCATGCTCATTTTTATTCAGACTGTGAATCAATTTCCCTGTACATAATGAAGTGTGAAGGCAAATCTCAACAAAATAACATATAGAGCAATTATCATGGTCATTAAAAATTATCTGCACCATATTGCAAAAACAACATGCTGCATGAATGTACAAGATGACAAGATAGTTTTTCTCAAAATTCAATAACTATATCAATCAAGTATTCCACAAGAATAGAAAAAAAAAAAAAAGGATATCTTGCATAATATATGAACCATAACTTAACCCCATAGGACTCTTCCTATAGTTGTCAACTTCATAAAACATGACACCTCCCCTTGCACTGGCATTTGTCAAGACTCAAGTAGGTGGTAAAAGCCCAAGTGATAAATGCAAATTAAAGAAATGGCACCAGAAAATGCCAGAGTGAACAAATTAATCGAAAATATGAATCAAAGATATTCTTGAACAAATGGAAAACTACAACATTAGGCAGAGAAGCCAATAACATTTGTTAATGTATTAGCAGGAAAATATCAGCTGAGGATAATGTAAATAAAGGATACCTTTGAAAGACACAAGGCAACCACAGTCATCAAACACCATCCGGTTTGAGACAATCTTAATGTTCGTAAAAGATCTGTGAACTTTCTGCCTCAGGACCTGATACAACAATGCATAAGGTGCAGATTAGATCATAAATCAATGGCTAATAAGCTACTTGTTCTGATACATAACCACAACAAAGCACGTTTTGCCTGACTAACCTCCTCTATAATATCTGCAAGCCCTGCTGAAAATATGAGAACTGGCACATCTCTCTCCTGCATATTCCAGAGCTAACTATGAAACTAAGGCAGAACTGGATTAAAAATAACCTAACCTTACAAACAAACACCCACATACATACATTCATACATAGGTATAAAAGAATTTAAATTTATCAGAAACCTCCCTGTTTCTCCTTTCCATTTCAATTTCTGGACCACTATAAAATGATTTTTAGCAATTTATCTACAAAAACAGATCAAAGAGACTAGCATTGATGCCTATTATGTGACACAACCAAAGAAGAAGGAATTTTATTGCTCTCAAATATAAAATTTCAGTACCAGCAATTTAAAACTTTATTATATAAACTCTAGCTATTTTCATGTATGAGGCAGAACAGTATTTTCCAATTCCTGCTCCATAGGTTCAATTGTTCTGTTTTCCCAGAATCAGCTTTATTCATGGTCCATTTGGGGCCTTACTTAGGGCTTTTATGTGGTCTTTAGTTTATATCAGTTGAGTAATTTTTCCTAGCTATAATGTTTTTAGAAATCCTAGTCCAACACAGACAAATTATTGTGTGCCTATCTATATCAGTTTTCCCTAGACTAGTGGAGTTAAATTTTTATGATGTAAAATTGGAGGGTTTTTGGAGAATTTTTGATACAGTGATTGGTTATCTCCTCTCTTCATTCTTCTCTCTATTGCTATAGTGCTTCAAGTCACTATCCATGGCACAAGAACAACATCAATAAACTTGTTTCATTCTAATTCTACTGTTGTCAGAAGATTCCTGCAATCTTTCCATGACATTATAACCCACTTTTGAGAAATTGATTCCCAGACCCTAACCTTAATTCCTATCATAAACCTTATAAACCCCTCTTCATGTCTTTCACCATAATCCCTAAGTAGGCAATGGAGACATGGTCCTACATCGTTATGTTGATGACACTAAAGGGATATAAAGAAATGGAATTGGCATTCTGATGAACATAATGATATAGAGCCCCTTGATGGTTTTCTTGTCATTCTTAAGTGTTATAAAATAGCCCTCACTCCAACACTATCATCCTTATCAGTGAACTAGAGCATGTTGCATAATGAACTTTTCAACACAGTTAAAATATATAATGGAGGTAGCACTGTAACAGCTATGAATTTAAAAAGAGAAAGGAAATCCTCTTTAGATAGTTTTTTCGCAGGGAAAATAACTTCCTGTTTTTCACTAGCTGAGGTCTTTGGTATTTACCAGTTATACAATAAGTTGCTGTGGATAAAAAATTCAAGGGACAGGATGAAGGGATAGGAATGTTGGAGTTGGTAATAATCAGGTACCTTGGAGGGCACTTTTACCATACCAGTGTGATAATGAGTAAGGGAAATTTCAGTGTAATGAAATTATGGATGAAAAGACATTGTTTTCATGGTTCCAAATTTCTCCTTAGTTTGCTCCTATATCTACACTCATTGTCCAGTTCCTTTTTTCCTCCTTCCTTTCCTCTTTTTAGGTTTTGGATTGTAAAATTGATGATACTATCTACAGTACTTCTTCATAAGAATGCACAAATATAATATTTTGAATAAAATATTGCATTAAAATTTTCTGCTCATTGTTTCACACGTTCCATGATTCTTAATTTTCTTTTCAAACAAGTATTTGGGAGAGTGTATTTGGATTTGGTTTTTCATAAAACTGTAGAAGTGTGTATAGCCACTAGCCATCATATAAAAATCAATAAAGATTCACTCTACCTATTTATTTAAAAGAGTAGAGGGAAATGCATATGAAATTACTATTCTATCTACGTAATTTCAATTCTCTCCATAATGATGTAACAAAAATCATAAATTTAAACGTATCAATAAAATTTTCATGAGTATAACCACACAATTTATGCCACACTTGAAATCTAGATCCCTTCTTGTCAAATGTGAGTTCCCAAATGGACTTTAAAAAGAAAATAACCAAAAAATCATTGAGATAGAGAGGCACCTCCAAAAACTCAAAGAGTTCAACTACACCATCTCTAAAGGCAATATTAGCATTAGCAACAGAGTTCTTTATTGCATCATATGTAAGGCCTCCTTCAATGAGAAGACCATGCGTTTTTCCCCACCTACAAGGGATAGAATCAATAGCATTAGTTACTCAAAACATAACAGAAATCCAGATGATGCAACACTAAGGGTTTTTCATGTCCTTATTTAAATTAACAACGAATAATTCACAACCAACATGAATGAACCATTCCTATCATTCCCATGCTTATAAGCCACTAAAACACTGGATGATTGAGGAACACACCACTCTTCCATGAGCTTGGTTTTCTCTTCAACTGGGATTGTTGGAGAGAATTCTAATGGATGATAGTATTGAACTAATGCTCGTCTCTTGGCATCAAACTCGGGGTTTCCTTGCTGCAAAAGGCCATGACTGCCTATACATGTTATATTAGATGAAAAAAAAAAATGAAAACCAAAAATCCTTAGACAGCTTATGATCATAACATAAAGATAGAACCGCGGTGAACCTACTTTGGCCACGCTGCCCATTGATCCAGTACCTCGTCAATGTCGCATCAAAATCTGCAATCACCTGAGACTCAAATTCTCATATTAAGAACCAAATGAACTCAATTCAATTGCTGTTTTTGGTAAATAGTTAAAATGTAACACCAATTATAACATAATTAGTTTCCATAGAAGCAAAATGATTTATTTTTTTTCATATTAAAAATTTATATAACAAAATGAAAATAGAAAAACTAGGAAGGGAAACTGCAATCAAGGAAATGTAAAACAAGGGAAAAACAAATTGAAAGAACCTGGAGTTTAGAAGGGCCGGCACTGCGAATGGCGGCAATCTTGTGGTTGAGTGATACAGGATCGTTAATGACAGTGAATTTCGAGAGATGACGATCCTCCTCCTTGTCCATTTTGGTCTTGTTATTTTGACTGCGACACCAAACCCTAGGAAAGACGACGGCGGAGAGGAAGAACGGAATGAGGGGTGAGAAGAATGAAGGGAGACAAAGAAATGGGGAGGGGAGTTGCCTTGAATTATGGAAGAAGCCGAGTTTGGAGAGGGCAACGCACTCAATGTTGACAATGCTGCTGCCTCGGAGCCGGTAACTCATTTGAGACTCGAGAGACTCTGAGCGCAACTTGTTTTTTTTTTTTAAATAAATAAATAAATAAATATTAAAGTTGACAAGTTTTTGTCATAAAATATTTAGTATCTAATAAAAACAATGCTAAAATATCTTACCCTTGAGTTTTGAATAGATTGTATAAAATTTTATTAATTTTAAATTAAACGCTTCTTCTTTTAAAAGATATTTTTCGTCAATTTAATAATATGTTAAAATAAAAAAATAATTTTATTTTTAATTAATTTTTAAAATTATTATCATATAATTTTATTAATTTATTAATTTAATAAAAAAAACCTCCCCATCTAAGGATTACTGAAGCTCCCCTTTCTTGAGGAGTCGGAGAAGTGCATTATATATTTTTTTAAAAACTATAATAATAATTTTTTAAATTAATAAAAAATATATTTTAATTTGTTTATAATTTTTATTAATAGTATTCACAAAGTGTTTATTTTTAAAATTAATGAATTTATATATAATTTTGATCAAAATTTAAAAGATAAAAATATTTTATTTTAAATTTTATATTAATTTAATATTTAAAAAATTCAATATCAAATAAAATAGTAAGTAACACAATAATAATAAGTGTTTATTGATTTAAAATAAAATATAAAGATTTAATTATATATAATAAAAATAAACATTAATTTTTCATTTTTTAAAATATAAAAATTTTTTAATTATTATTTTGTTATGTTTTATTAAAGGTGTTCGGGTTAATTTTCTTTTAAAAAATATATACTTATAAAAAACAATAATCTGTTGATAATGTAATAAATAAAAATTCAGAGGGAAAAAAAGGAAAAAGGAACAGTCAAGGTGCTGTAGAAAAAATAAGCGAACTTTTGAGGGATGTAAACATAATTCAACCCAGAATCTATGAGTTTTCGTTTTTGTTTAAGCAGAGGAACGAATATGAACATTGATACAAGGAACAGGAGAATAAAGTCCTCGAGAAAACAAAACAGCAGCTGTTCATCATTTGGCGTCGACTTGCTTTCCTTATCCAATATTTAAGGAAGAATTCCCAGTCCCAGTCTCAGGGTAAGGAACCCAAACTCTTTTTCACTTGATTCTTTTCTTTGGGTGTTTAGTTAAGTCTCTAGACTAAAAACTGGAAACTCAGGTATGAATCTTTTACATATATATGTTACTGATAGAATTTTGCTCAGGTTTTGACTGCCCGGAATTTGGTTTTGTGTTTTTCAACTTATCTTTGATTTTAGTTGGTTATATTGGTATTTTGGATGTAATACAAATCTAATATTAGTTATTTTAATCTTTATTAAATATATTAATTGAAGAATGATAGTTAGATTGGCCTTATGAACCTAGTTGTTTTGCTGTTTCTGCAGTTTGGGAATAAATTATTTATAAAATGGCAAGACAAGTTAATACCCTCTTTCTTGAACAATGGTTGAGGACTTGCAGTGGTGGTATTAGCCACACTGTTTCTGGGCATTCTTCTTCTTCTGGGTCTTCATCTTCATCGGCGCGTGCCATTATTCAAGCATGGTCTGAGCTTAGAGATTCACTTCAGAACCAAACATTTCATCCCCATATACTCCAACCTTTGAAAACCCTCTTTAACTCCCAAACCTCTCTCCATGTTGCTGACCCTCAAGCCAAACTTCTTCTGTCTGTACTCTCCTCCCAAAGTTTCGATCTTCCTTCAGAATCATATCCTATCTTGCTCAGGCTTCTTTATATTTGGGTCAGGAAGTCTGCTAGGCCATCAACTGTGCTCATTGACTCAGCTGTGGATGTCCTTTCTCATGTATTTACTACTGAATTTAGTTTGAAGAAAAGAGCTTCTTTTCTTGCTGAAGGTGTTCTTCTTTTAGGGGCCATTTCATTTGTGCCTCTTGTATCTGAAAGCTCGAAAATAGTGTGCTTGGAGTTGCTTTGTAAGCTGTTAGAAGAAGATCACCAATTCGTTAGAACTTGGGAAGAAATTATCCCGGATGTGCTGGCAGGGATTGGATATGCATTATCTTCTTCTCTGGATGTTCATTTTGTTAGAGTTTTGGATTTTTTGTTGGGAATTTGGGGAAAGGAATATGGGCCTTCTAGTACAGTTCCTACTGCACTCATGATCTTGCATATGGTTGAATGGGTTGTGTCTGGTTTCATTAAATCACATTCTTTTAAAAAAATTCAAGCTTTTTCACATGGGACATTTGGAACTCCGAAGGCAAGCTATGTTCATTTTGCTCTTGTTATGGTTGCAGCTGGAGTATTGAGAGCTAGTAGATATGCAGCTAGTGGCCAAGGGTTGGAGATTGTTTCCGCACTAAGGATTTCTGCAGAAAATGGGATAGTGTCTATAGCACAAAGTTTCGTTTCTAAAACTAAAGAGTTTGTAAACTCAGACAGTGATCCCATGGACAGTCTTCTTTTACAGTGTATGTCACTAGCCTTGGCTCGAAGTGGTGCAATATCTTTCAGTGCCCCTGTGCTTGTGTGCCTGACTTCAACCTTGTTAAGAGAAATCTTTCCCTTAAGGCACTTATACATGCAGATTCTTCAGTTCTTCCACAGCATTGGGTCAGAATTGGGGCTTAATGAGATTAAAAAACATCTAGACAGTGTTCTTTTTAAGGAAGCAGGTGCCATAACTGGTGTTTTCTGCAATCAGTATGTCTCAGCAGATGAGCACAGCAAAAGTTTAGTGGAGAGTTTTATATGGGACTACTGTCAGGATGTCTACTCTGGTCACCGACAGGTTGCTTTGTTGCTTCGTGGCAGAAAGGATGAGCTACTAGCAGATTTGGAGAAAATTGCAGAATCTGCTTTTCTTATGGTTGTGGTTTTTGCTCTGGCTGTAACAAAGCACAGACTAAATTCAAACCTATCTCAAGAAATGCAGAGGGAGAAAACAGTGCAGATATTAGTTTCGTTCTCTTGCTTAGAGTATTTTCGACGCATGCGTTTGCCAGAATATATGGATACCATTCGAAAGGTTGTTGCATGTGTTCAGGAAAATGAGTCTGCCTGCGTCTCTTTTGCGGAATCAATGCCTTCCTATGTTGACTTGACCACTTGGCAAGGTGATTATTTATGTACAATTTTAACTGAGTGTTAGGTTACTAAGGCTCTGTTTGTTTTGCAGAAATTGGCTTCTAAATATTGACTTCTGCATTTTCTGATGTTTGGTTAGCAGGAAATGGGATGGTCAGCAGAAAATCATAATAGTCAATGGAAAATGGACCTAAACACTTTAAAATTTTCTTCTAGGTTACAAAAGCTTTAAGGCAATTGCCTGACTACCCAACACTCAACAAATCCTGCCGCTTAACTAGACCTGCATATGGGCTTAGTTACCTGACTCAGTCGAGCTTTGGACAGGATTTTAGGTCTGAGCTTGGCCCGAATCGATATATTATTAATTTTATACATAATTTATTTTATTTTATTTTAGTTCAACTTAAGATATTAAATTAGTAATATAAAATTTTTTAAATTTTTTAATATTAAATATTAGTGTTTTGAACATTATTAATAATAACAAATATTTTTGTAATATTTAATAATAATTATTATATTGCTATTTAACAATAAATAGTATATATTAATATAATAAATAATACATTAATGATTTTAATAATAAGTAATATTATTTTAAATATTTTAATACTAAATAAAAATATTTATTATTAATAATAAATATTTTAAAAATATTTACATTATAAATATTGCTATTTATAATATTTTAACAATATTTTTATTATATTAATAAATATATTTTAATAGTTATGTCAATATACTATTTTTGCAGGAATGAAAGTTTTCTATAGAACAGCCAAACGACAAAAAATATTTTACACAAAGTCATCCAAACTATAGAAAAAATAGAAAATATCAACTTTTTAGAAAAAATCAATATTTTCAGAAAATTATTTTTCGGAAACCCATTTCTCAGAAACAAGCGGAGCCTAAATTCCAGTAATTCTGCAGTTTGAAGTTCCTAGATGAGTTTTTCTATTGTTAGTTTTATGGGGATTTGAATTTTGTTTTGTAGACTTTTCTTCCAAGCAGAAAATGGAATATGAATGGTCAAAGGATGAGGTGCAAACTGCTCGTGTTTTGTTTTATGTGCGGGTTATTCCAACTTGCATTGAACAATTGCCTGCTCGTGTATTTCGGATGGTGGTTACTCCAACTATGTTTTTGTATCCTAAAATACTTATTTACCTTACTTGGAAAATTTATTATTTATGTTAAATGATATAAACAATGATTCCTGATAACAAAGGTGATTAGATATATGGGACATCCAAATGGAAAAGTAGCTCGAGCCTCACATTCTATGTTTGTGGCATTCATGTCTTCCGGAAAAGACTCAGAGGACGAAAGAGTGTTGCTAAAGGAGCAACTTGTTTTCTATTACATGCAAAGATCTTTAGAGGTACTTAAAATTTAGTGAAAGTGACAGTATATCAAACTTTTGGGACTAAATTAATTTTTCTGTTACTTTTAATAAAGGGATTTCCTGGCATTACTCCTTTTGAGGGTATGGCTTCAGGAGTTGCAGCCTTGGTTCGACACCTTCCTGCTGGCAGCCCAGCAACATTTTATTGCATTAACTGTCTTGTTGATAAAGCTAATGAGCTCTGCAGTGATGCTTCCACTTTAAAAGCTGAGGAGTGGAAGAACTGGCAAGGAAGCCTGGAGCCTTGCAAAAAAATCCTAGAGCTGCTTTTGCGTCTTATTTCCCTTGTTGATATACAGGTAAATACTTACGTATGCTAAGTTCTTTTGGTGCACAAGATGCAATTTTTCACCATTCTTTTACTTCTCTTTTTTCTTAAAGGGTTTGACAAGTTAAAATCAGGTGCTGCTCTAGCTAGTTCTTCTCTCCATGTTGATTGTTGGTTTATTACTTTTATGTTGCTTTTATGCCACTTCATGTGAAATAAACGTAATACTGTTGTTAAGTATTAAACTGAAAGTATATGCTATAAACAGTGACATCATATTGCATTTCACAATCAGAACTGCCCAGACTAGATGCTGTGGAAAATAATTTGCCTATCAGTTTTTGATGGCTATGGTGTCTGCTAGATAATATTATCATTTACACATTTGTGCAGGTCCTACCAGCTCTAATGAAGTCATTGGCACAACTCACTGTCCAACTACCAAAAACTGGCCAGATCATGGTTCTTAATGAGCTATATGCCCAGGTTGCTGAATCTGATGATGTCACACGTAAACCGGCTTTAGTTTCATGGCTGCAGTCATTGTCTTACCTTTCTTCTCAAGCTAAAAGTGAGGTTGTGACTTCCAAAGGGAGGGAAAGCAAAGAAAGCTCTGCTTCTCCAGGGGCTACAGAGCCATTAGACTCGGATAAAATAAATGCTCGTCTTTGAGGCTTCTAGGTGCAGTTCTTGATGAATGACATAGCTAATTCTCCAAGAGATTGCCAGAATATGTGCAGGTTGCCAAAGAACTGATGATATCACTTGCAAACTAACTTTGGTTCCATGACTGCAGTCACTGTCTAACCTTTACACTCAACCAAAAAGTGGGGGATCTGAACTCCAATGGAAGGGGAAGCAAAAAGAGCAATGCTTCTGCAGGGCATACGGACCCATTAAACTGGGATAAATTAACATCTCTGAGACATCTAGGTGCAGTTCTTAATAAATGTTAATCTTGTGTTACTCTCTCTCTCTCCATATATATATATATTTATTTATATATAACATATTCGTCTTGATTTTGGAATAAATGGAATCACTTGAAATTGTTAGAATTCTGCCTGGTAAGTCAAATAGGTGTTGTTAATTCTGTACTCAGTGAAATAACATGGGATATTCTTTACTTCTGTATGGCTTCTTGTTCTGTGTTATACCACATGCTGGCTAAATCAATTTATTTCCCAACTTCAATGATATGTATCTGCATTGATATGCCAACATTAATGAGTCTTGAATTTAGGCTTTGACCCTGGTCATATATGAATCCATACCTTATTGCCTGCAGAGAGAGGATTTTATGTCTTTAATTCAACTTTTAGATTCCCTGCATCCTATTTTTTCTGATAGGTCATTCAGCATGCTCTGAATTGCTTGTTTTCATAGTAGTTATTTGGTTTATTTATCAGATGGAAGGGTGTAATGTTAAAGTGGCTTGTTCTCTATATCATGTATTATCATTTTAGTGCATTTGGACAAGAGTTAATTACATAAATAATACCTGAACTATGAGAAATTGTTGAGTTTGGTATGTGAACTAAAAAATGTACAATCTGATACCTCAACTATAAAAAATATGCTTAATTGCCCCTAATTAATGACACCGTTAACTTTGGCTGATAATGTCTGTGAGCTAATAATAAAAAGATGACATGTGTAAGACTACAAAGGAAATTAAATGCCATATAATATGAAATTGGATACACATCATCATTTTTGTTTCTTCTTCTTTTTAACTTTTTATGTTATTTTTTGTTCTGTTTTCTTTCTTTGTTCTTCTTCTTCTCCAGATCTCTTCCTCACTAATACCTATCCTCCACCAGTACCATAAACCAATCCCTTCCTCAATGGAGCATGTCTAACTCTTTGCCCTCACCCTTTTCTTCTTCCTCTTTCCTCCCAACATTGCTTCAGTGCTTACTCTTTCCACAAGCCTCTCAATTTCCCTCTTCAAATCTCATTTTCCCTCTTTTGCACTTTCTATTTCAACACAACCCAGGCGAGATTCCCTTGCACACAAGCACATTTTGCTGGCCTTGAGCCATGTGGCTGCAGATTTTTTTTTTTTTTTTGTGATTTGCAGGTTTCTTTGATTTTGCTCAAATTTGGGAAATATGGTTTTCAGGTATTAAAGCTTGAGGGTTAAGATGGGTTTTGTTATTTTGATTCTTGGGAGATATTTGGGGAAAGGAATCTCAGTGAGATGAGTTTGATATGGAGAGGAAAAGAGTGAGGCTTTTGCATTGTAGGTTGTTTCATTAGTGAGAAAATAAGGAAAGCGAGAAAATCTGGGTTTGGTTAGAGAGAGGGATTTTTTTATTTATTCATTAATTATAAAAGTGGACTATTTTTTCCAGAAAAAAGGAATAAAAAAGCAGGGAATACATACAAATAGAAAGAGAAAGAAATGTTAAGCTTCCTAGGTAATGGTTTGACTGTTTGAGAGTTGAAATCAAGAGAGGAAGGGTATAGAAAGAGAATGTTGGAAAGAAGGGAAGAGAACCTATCTGCAGATGAGGAACAACAGATGAAGATGAGGTTGCGGCCTGGTATGGTGGAAAAAATGGTGATTGGGGCATTGACGAAGGGATCTATAAGTGTACAGAAGGAATCTGTGTTTGTGTACTATAATATTTATTTATTATTATTTTTTTAACTTTCGTACCAAAAAATATGTTCTTTGAGAAAAATATAATTGCCCAATCACTGAATGACACATCATCTAAACTGTGGAATTTAAACTTCGATGGCATGCTTATTTGGCTCGGGGCACATTATCGGTCTTGGTTAATGGTATTTCTGGGGCATTTTAGCATATGTTTTTATAGATGAGTTACTATATTGTACATTTTTATATTTTTAGAGGATTGGAGCTGATCATGGAACCTCGAACCTTAGCTAGACTGGTAGCAATCACTAGGAATGGAACTTGGGTTGTACTTTTTTGTAACATTTAGTAAATACTTATTAAATCCTCTTGCAGGGTCTTATCAACCCAAATTGGCACTATCCTTTTTCTTTTCTTTTTCCCCTTTTGAAAGGTAAGTAGATTTTCTTAAGAAAATTTAAGTACAAGTTTCTGAGATTTAGCACTAACTTTGAATTGGATGTTAGCATTTTCTGAGTTGGAAGCTTCTGCATGTAGAGCACATGGAATTGTCTCCAGTCTAATTGTTTTCCTTTTGGCTAATAGATTGAAATGGTACAATTGAGAGCTCTGTAAATTGCTTGATATAATTCTCGTTTAAGATTTCAGATTTCTCTTTACTGCATTGCTGATACCTGGTCCTGAAGTGCCATTTTTGATGTAGTTACTAGAACTTAGGTGCCATTTGGCACTGTGGGGAGTCCTTTCCACCACGTTGGACCCTTTTTTTCCACTAGGCTTCAGTGGAAAAAGTGGTCCTCCTGCAGTGCCAAAAAAGGGTCAGTGTGGTGGGAGACCTCCCCCACTGCTTCTCCTTGCAGTGCCAAACTCATATTTAGGAGTGCTTAAGCAGAACATGCTGAAATATTACATCTTAGCTTCGGTTCATTATTTTATCCTGACTTTTACTTAAGTTTTATGAATTTTGCAGTGAAATTGATAGGATCAGGATGATGGAACCTTGGCCATGTCACTCTGTGACTTTCCCTTTTGTAAGTGGAGCCTTTAAGCATCAAATTTCACAGGTAGAGCTGGAATAACCTTTGTAGTCTTGTTCTGTGCCTGTCTCCAACAAAAATGCTGCTAAGATGCTAACCCCCATGATTTGCTTGTTTGATACAAACATCTAAGCCATGTAGAATTGTCTTAGTTTTTCAAAATTCATGGCAAGAATCTGTGACTTGATTCCATCAGTGAAGTCAAATTTTCTTTCAAATACATATTCCAATCATTGATATCAGCAAAGTATATCTGAACTGCCAAAATGTCCAGTAATTAAGGGTTTATTATACTCTAGTCTAGTTTTCTTTATAGGTAACTTGGCTAACATTGACCAATTATTTAGACTCAAAGTAGTATTCTCAAAAGTAGTCATTAAATGTACTTCAAATTTCTTTTTGCTTGCTTACGAATTTCTCAATCCTAGAATTAATTGATTGGACTATTTATTGGTTCAGGATTTGGAAATGAGGAGTTTCATGGTGCTCTTACTAGGGCGCCACTATTTTCTTATCATTTTTGGGTAGGAAAACTAGAAGCTTTTGTGAGCAAATCTCTTGCAACCACTTCTGCATGCTTTTGTTTTTCAGCACTAACATTCTAGGTTTTCTCTTCCAATGCTGCTGTCGAGAGGGCACTGATGAGATCATATTACTTCACAGGTCTTTTACGTTGTAGGAATAATATAACCTGTAACACCTGATAAGCAAAGATGGAATGACTTGACTATCAGTTGCTGTCGAAGCTCAATTGGAGATCAGGTAAGCCGCCAGAGAGCTAATCAGATTGAAAATCCTGAAAGTTCCCAGGAAATGGTTAAACCATGCCCTTGAAGCTGAAAAAGATGTGAATCTGTGGTGTTCTGATTCTGTTTAACATATATGAATTGGCAGAGATGCGATGCAAAGGAAGAACAGTTGATGTAACCTCTGAAGTTGAATCCTTAGCTTTAGCTTTGCTAGACACTGGAAACTATGGTGTCTCAACGATTCATGGGTGCTTGATGTGTAAGCATTAGCAGACCAACAAAGAAAACGTGATTGAGCTTCTAAAGTTGCTTGAGGCCTAGAGGGTTTTTGGGGCAAATGGGTTGTATAGGTTAGGATGTTTGTGCTGGTTCATGTTGCACTGGTTGGCCTATCATTCGTAGTATGTTGCTGGTAAAGTATGGTTCATCTGGCACTGTCTTCCTTACTCCAATTGTTTGATCTGGAGCTTGAACAAAGGGGGATATGTAGGAGAGATGTTTGTAATTAATTGCCACTGAATCCAACTTCTCTAAGCAAACATCAAAAAAATTTCCTCATATGTGAATGTCATGATAGAACTTCTGGAGACAATGACCCTACTAGTTGATGTAATTTCTGGAGCCTGGTTATGAAAGGCCCATGCATTGTCCATGTATTCATTCTACTTTTATTTCCCAACTGTTTTGTGGCTGAAGTAAAATGGTTGCTGATGGTTTCTTGAAAGAAAAGTATTGAGTACTGAAATTTTGTTCATGGATTAGGGAATTTATCAAGTCAAGATCTCGTTTCTGGTTTACATTGGTAAATAATTTTTGAATGGGATGCTGTAAATTTTTGCTCTTCAGGGTTATTATCTGTCTTGGAGGAACAGATTCATGCACCCTTCCATGGGATTAATATTATTTCGGTTTTGGTAAGACTGATTATTGTTTAAATTGGCTTTTAGTGAGTTTGATAAATTCTTTTAACATATGCTGCTATATTTGTGTCATGTAGAATCAAATATTAAGATAATTACTGGAAGTATTGATCTGCCTTTTATGTGATGAAAACTGTCTTATAGCAGACGGTATAATTTCAGTTTGGATTTATCCTATAACATTCTACATTGAACAGTTGGTATTAGTCTGGTCTAACTTCTCAGCTTAAGTTTTTAGGTTTGATTGTTGGATATTGACATATTGTGCATGGCCTGTAATCTGAACCTCCAAATCAAATGCAAAATGACAATGAGAAACTCCAAAGTTTGAAACAAATTTCTTGATCTAGAAGCAAGTTCATGCTTTTGTTGCACACTTGTAATACAGGTGGAGAAAGATGCCTGTTTTTACCTTATTAGTAAGAAATTTCAACTCTCTGCCAGGAAGGGAAGTAACCCAAAGTTCCAACTGCTGTCATCCTGGAGTTGTATATTTTGCAGGATCTTCTCGAAAAATTACCTCCCCAAAGCATGCCTGAATCTGAATAGGTACAAGGATCAACTGGGAGCAAATGAAGAAGCTGCCAAAAGCAATGTTAAACTATTGAATCCCAAAATGTGTTGTTGGAAGTGGAATTGTATCTGTTATATTCCCAACAAAACATAGAGGAAGCTTGGAAAGCTCCAAAAGCATGATACATTAATTCAGTATATTTATCAATTTTACATTAGTATCTGGCAATTTCCATCTTCTGTTCATAAAAAGAATACCAAGGATTTGGACAAATGTCTATGATAACACCCAAAAAGAATACAGTAGAATCAAGAGAAGACATAGCAAAGGAGAGTGACAGCCATATTCAGCAGCAAATGGGGCAAATAATCAAGCCATTCTCATTGCACTGCAGGCATTTGCTGGACAACCCATCATCGGTAATGATCCTGTGACTGCCGTTGCATTTGAAACAAAGTACAAACCTAACGCCGGCACAGCCTTCACAGGGGGCATTGGATGTATCAGTAGGAATGCCTTGAAAGAGCAGCTTAAGCTTCCCTTGCTCATGCAAAGTGAGAACCTCTTCTGCTCCACCAATGTATCTCCCTTTTATGAAAAGCCTTGGAGGCATTACTTTGCCATCCAAAATCCTCCACAACTCTTCCTTGTACTCTGTATGCATCGATATGTCTCTTTCGTAGAAAATGACCCTGAAACTCTCCAATAGAAACCTGACGCTGTTACAACCCTCGAAAGTCTTTCTTATTCCTTTGAGAGTCGTCGTGTAAAGGATGACTGATCCATCACCTCCAGGAGGACACTTCTCTTCAAAGCCTAAAAGAGGATCACCCTCATTATCATCATCATCATCAACAACAACATCAGCAAGGTCATCATCTATGCGGCGAGTCTTATGTGGGGGCTCGTTTTCGCTCTTTTCAAGATTCTCTTGCTCAATTCTTGCTTTTCTCTCTTCTTCACTCATCTTGATATGCTCCTTCACAGCTTGTTCAAAGGCAGCCAGTAGGTTAGGGTCGAAGAGAGTACAAGAGTTCAAATCCGGCTTCCGAAAGGAGGAGACATCAATCTCCGATAATGGGGTGCTCTGCCTACGATTCGCTGTCTCATGTTTCACGGGATAATTCACATTCTCTTGCTCAACAACTACATCAATATTTGCCTTCATTGTCGGCCTAATATTCTCTTTGTCATCAACCCCATCAACCCAATCCATTTCTTCATCGTCGTCTTCAAGATCTTTCATTAGCTCTGCTACATCAATGACTTCGGGATGTTGTTCAACTGTCACACAGCTCTCTTTAATCTTGTCTTGCTCTGATTCCTTGCTGAACAACTTGGGTTGTTCATTGAGATTTGGGGTCTTGGGACAAGAATCAATGAACCCATCAATTGCAAATACTTGAAGAACTCGATCTGGCTTTAGGTAACCAACTGGTTTGATTGATTTCAGCTTCTTCAAAAACTTTCCTTTCACACTCTTCATTCTTTTCTCCTTTATTTTCCACCCCAAAAAACAAAAAAAAAAAAACAAACCCAATGTTAAATTCGATCTGGTTTGGGATAAAGACACAAGAAAATTGAAATAAAATTGCGGATTTGGTGTTAAATCTAACAGGTGAAAAAGATTAAAGCAAAGAATGAAGAGACAGGAGGGTGGCGGCCTGAGGTTCAACGGCTAGAAAGCCGATATTTTAAAATTTATTTCAGAAAAGGAGAAAGAATCCAATGCAGACAGTATCAGGTATTGTGTTTAAGATAGGTGAACTGAAGCCATCGAAACAAGCAGCACGTGGAGATTGGTTTCAGGACAACTAGGAATGGACACGTGGGGAATAGAGAGAGGCGGGTGTAGTTATAGGTAAGAGTTTGCAAAAGCAGAAAAGAGGGAATGGGTAACGGTCATAATTTACTTTTGTTGGGGTCCAACAGCTTGTGTACTCGAGTATGTGATTCGGTTTCTTTTGAATAGCTTTCCCTCCTCCTTTTAGTTTTCTTTTTCGTTTCTTTTTATAATTTATTTTTAAGGTATAATACTAAAAGAACTCTTCAATTATTTCAAAAAAATTTAAGTAAATTTTTATTTTTTTTATTATATTATCAAATATTTATATTTTTAATTTAAATCAAATAAATAATTATAATTAATATTTAATTAACTATTATTAATCAAAATATTAATTATTATTTTATAAATTATGACATTGCATGCTAACGTGACATGTAATATTTTCAACCACCTACATCAACATTACATGAGTGAAAAATACTAAATAATATCTTAACTAATAATGATTAATTAATCGTTAAACGTAAAAACTTATTTATATTTTTTTAAATAATTCAAGAAAATTTTCAAATATAATGTCTTTTTTTAATCATAGTATTATTATTATTATTTTTTGAGTTATAACTCTTCTAATTTTCCCATTCCTTTAGAAAAGAGTTATGACATGAAAAATTGTTTGTAAGAGTAAGATGAGGGGAATAAGAATAGAAAGCAATAGGAATAGCTCCCCTTTTATAATCAACAATTGTAACCCTCTTGCTTTTGCCATTTGTGTTTCTTGTGTGAAATACAAAAGCTAAAAGCAAGAGGCAAAAGCTGTGGCACTCAAGAATATTCATATATATATATATATATATATATGTATATAGATATATAAGAAATGTATGCAAAGCATCATCATTTTAATTAGTGTAAATGGTATCAAATCAGTCAGTATAATTTTTACGAACAGCTAAAATGACATTGTTAATGATGGCTGACAAACTAATTGCACTGCAATCATAAATTTAAGCTTGTTTTTCACTGTGGCTGTGGGCGGCAACCAAATGCACATTCAAGTTCCTTAAATTCAAAGCCTCTCATCGTTTCCAAGCAAGAATAGACTTACCAGACCTATGGCGATACAGCTTCAATCCAATATTTCTGCACTGGACTTTAAAGAAAAGACTGCATGCAGACAACCGAACATACCACTTAAGTCATCTTAACGCAGTCTTTTGCATTCTTATCCTTTCATCGATGTAGTATGTAGATTCGATATTTGTGTAACACTCTGCTAAAATGTGTTTCTTTTCTAATCTCTCCCCTTCTTCCCCACAAACCCACCATTCTCAACAGCACTTAACTCTCTCCTATTTCCTTTTTCCCCCCTTAAAAGCTCTTTCTGATGTATAGCTCTCAAAGTATCAATTACTTGAAACAAGATAATTAATGGACAAATAATAACTTCCCACTAACATGAATGATGCTATCCCACTACGAGCCATCCGTGGCCAAATACCACGATATAAGAGATTTCTGTCTGCAGGGTGAATCCCTGTAATTCTCTCAAATCTTTTCCCAGCTATTTTCCACTTGAGAAGCTTTCTCTCCATTGAAATGAACTGCAAGGAATAAGTGGCAACATGAAGGCCATCTGCATATAAGTAAGACGACTCAAAATTTCTTGACTATGCATTGATTGTGAACCTAGTGGCCTACTTCATGCTTGATATTCTTTTCATCGAGTAACATGAAAGGTTAACAACCAAATACTAGCAGGAAAAAAAACAAATACGAACATTTACAAGCCAAAACATAGCAGTATGGAATAAAAAACGGGAACAACTTTGTAAATTATAAAATAAATGGATGAAGATTGAAAACAGAACTATTTTGTCATACTGACTCATTTCTGGCAATCTCATGGCAAATGTAACTTGGATGAACAAACTCATATGCTACAAGAAAACATCACAGATAAAGCAGCTCCTAAGAGAAAAGGTACCTTGGGCAATACTATACATTGTGATCGACTTTTGGCAGTGTCAAAACTGTGAGATACAGCAGCAGCAACTGAACCTGAAAACCCTGCTGCAAGACTAACAGCTAAAGGGGAGAGTGGACCAATTTCTTCATCATACCTGAGGAAAAATTCCAAATTTTAGCCATAGAAGCTAACATCTAGAAGTTAAAATCTTATCAACAGTTTGAGCAATGTCCGAAATTCATTGCAGATAATTTCACATAATGCCATATAATGATATATAACAATATTCTATCTCAATTCTTTGTTTCATGTTAATTTATACAGCCATGGAAACGTGGTTTGGTCCAACAGCAGGTAAATTTTCTGAGCCAATGTATGACAAGGAAAACCATGTCACAAAAACTTTTGATAGTGTAACTGATCACGGAAACCTGAGATAGAGTCTTCAAACCTGACCATATATTAGTTGGGAAAGCTAGGACTAGCTTTAAACTAAATTACAAAATGCTAAACACCTAGATGATCTTAAATATTAAGTTTGAATGCCCTGAATGCCCTCCATTTCAGAAAAATGGAACATGGAATTTCTTTCCCTGGTAAGTAATGAAATTATTAACTTTCAAAAAAACAAAAAAAAGATTGACAGTCCAATTCAAAAATCATGATTTTACACCCCAGACCTATCTTTTTATCATGTGGCTCTCTTCCAGTATACAGACTACACTTGGTGGAAAACTAGCCACACAATCAGGCAAAGATTCTCCAACAAGAAATAGGATTGATAAAATGGGATATCCACATGTTACTGATTAAAGTACCTCAAGCAGTATAAGAATAAAGAATCAAATTTTTTATCTTTATTAACTATACAGACATTTTTGAGACAAAATCATAGATGCATTAACAACTAAAGCATATCCTGCCTTTCAAAAAAAAAAAAAAAAAAACTAAAGCATATCCTAAATGACACACCCAATGGTTAGAACTTGGTTCTTTCACTTGGAAGTTTCAGTTCAAAACTTGGGGAAAGGGGTGGGGCTGATGTAAAAGAAGAGCGCTACTGCCAATGAATAACCCAAAGATTCAATGGGCTTCTACAAGTACTAAAGATGTATCAACTCAAGCACAATCCGAAGAATACAAGACAAGGCGAGGAAAGTTAAGACATTTTCCTTAAGTCTTTTCCTTCTTGAACTTTGTTGATAGAATAGACATAAATAAGAGAGAAACAAAGATTTATCCTTCATAATCAATAAGATAACAAATATTAACAAAAGCCAAGTTCGTGAAAGAAATGCTAGCATATGTGCATGTACACATCGTGCTAAAACTAGATCATTACTATTAACCTGGTTTAAAAGTGAGATAATAATTTACAGCATATCAACATTGTATCCAAAGAGGAAAAGGAATAGATGTCCACCAGCTAACCTAACTACTCACAAGCCAATTAGTCTTGTGCTTCAAGAAAATTTAACTAAACCAGAAAAAAGCGGACTTTATATTTGTCAATTGTGAACCCAAGACCTACTCTTACCAAGATATTCCCACTGTAAATAACTTCATTTGCAGGCAAAATGGAACACAAATAGTTCTTAGCTACTTGAAAGATTTGAATTTTAAGAAACAGAAAGGAAAAATAAAACTTACATCTGCACCAATTTACACATGCATGCAAATTAGTATCACATCAGTGATGAGCCAAAATTTTTGTATCTGAAGCTGTGCAGAAAGAAAATCTATAACATCATATAGAAAAAGAATGCAGCATTATGTTTTCTTAATTGTTTAACTTTAATAATTTCCCTCAGGGAACACCAGTGGCCATATGGAAACAATTTTTTTGTTTTTGTTTTTGTTTTTCCTTTCCAATTTCTTTTCTTTTTGGATAAGTTTCCTCTTCTAATTTCTTTCACTTACAAGCACTAGATCTTCAAATTATTACCATCAACACAGTAAAAGTATATTAAATCTTGGTTTGCAATAACAAACTTGAACCAAAAAATTAGATGATTGCTTTGCCATATTAGGTTCAGCATCTCTCTATTCTCTTTCACATAAAGAATGAAATACAATGACAACAATGCTAGCTCACCATAAAATCAACTAAAACATTCAACAGGAAAACATTATGTATCATATGACACAGTGGGAATTAAAAAAAAAAAATTAAAAGAACACCTGGGTGGGGGATGCATCCCGACTGCCTTCCAGTCTAACATTGCTCGGTGCAAAAATTCCCAAGTAGAGAAGAATATGCCACCAAATATAGAGTCTCGAGCAACTCCAGAACGAAGGCCTCTCCATAATGCACCCCATCCTTCCAAAGAAATGATTTGGGATGGCCTCCGAACATCATAAACTGGTGGTGGCCTCCCAGACCCAGTCATCATCCAGGGGTACTCTTGAATGGCACCAACCATATTAGGATGTTTGCTGTTTAAGATGGACAACATTCCTACCGAATGGTTCAATGTCCTCATGTCTGGAGTATATCCACACAGTAATCGGGCAATTGCTGGCACAACAGCTTTATTTTCTGTTACTGGAGTCGATCTTGAAAAGCGAGAAGCAGAGGTCACTTGTGCGCGAAGTTTAATAAGTTCAAAAGGGGAGCTTGTCAGTGACTCCACAGCACCAGCTGCCATCCCTGCCATAAGGGCCTCAGAGATGTACACAAAATTGTCTTCTCGACCATCTGCAAAACAGCCATATCACCACATGATGCACTAAATGTTGTGGATGCTATGGAAGGAAAACTTATTTCAATTGTTATGTTACATTATGCCATTTACATGAACACTTCAAATTATGAGGAGAAAGAAGTTGGGAAAAGAGAGTTTGCTGATTATGAGCAGATCAGTTCTGCTACTGCTAACATCAGAAAATGAGATCACTGAGACATGATTTTATCTCTTAGGTTTTTGTATAACATCTGCAGATTGTTCAATATAATTAACAAGAAAAGGTAGAACATCCACAGATTTTAGTTTTAATTAGAATATTGCTACTCAATTGAATCCCTTTCTTAAATAAAACAGAGAGATGCTATTGACAGATTAGTTTTGTGAAATTTTACTATACAACTATATCTCTAAAACATCTGCACCCATTTGACTACACATGCTTACATGCAATAAACAAATTAGACAATAAAACAGATATATTAGCACTATCCATGCCAGATACACAGCTAGATAGACTGATAGAACATGAAGAAGGGTGGGTTTGTATTTGATGGTCGTAAAGTGACTCAGACTAATGGTCACTTTGAAGAAAAGTTAAAAGTGAAACATGTTGTGATTCCTTGGTTTCTGCATATTACATTGTATATCATGAATCAAATTAACAAGGAGTAACTTTGAGATCTACTCAGCAATTTAATAAAATACTTAACAGATTGATGTTCTTTAATGATCAATGCTATGAAAGCTCCTAAGTTGTCTCTTTTTAAACTAGGCATAAAATATTAAAACATGGTTTGCATGTTTTATAATCACCCAAATTGTGGAAGAGTAATATGCACACTTGTTATATTAAGCATCCTACATTCAGGGTAAAATGACTTGTAAATACCGCTATGTGAATGACAAAGAATACCTCTACAGAAGGCTGTCAAAACTTCATATATTCCAAAGCGAGCTCCCAAACCCAAAGTTCTTCCCCAGGCCAACCACTCAAAGCCACTATACAAACCTGTGTTTTTCAAAAGAAAGCAAAAATCAAACTCCAAATAAAAGTTAGAATACTGATCATGACAAAATTTGTATTTAGAAAACAAAGCTAGAAAGGGAAAGCAAGCTTAATAGAAAGCAAGCAGGATATTGAAAAGAAGGGGGATGGGGGGAGAGGAACTGCAAATTTTAGTTTCCATAGTTTTATATTCAAATTTCTGAGAGGTATCAACCAAAACAAATTGGATGTCCATCTTTCCTATCTGGACTATCCTAAAACTAATCCACTTTCCTTTTCTAATACTTGTTACTTTTTTTCCTCTATTCCATATATTTTTAAAATTTTTTGACAGTAAAAACTACAGAATAAATTATTATAAAAATTACAAAATAATAATATCAAAAACACTAAACCCATAATATTTCCCTTAATCTCCATGCCAATTCAAAAGTGAAGATTCCATTTGAGATGGAGGAAATATGTATTTATATGGTAGTATTAACACATAGATGACAATGTAAAAGAAACTAAGAGGAAATAGATAGACCACTTTTAAAATTTAGACAAATGCTAGGAATTGCTCTGCTGATTTGTAGCTTAAATTAATTTAGAGGTATATTTTTAGATTTCTTTTCTTCAAATTTAGAAGGCATCAATGCATACAATTGGTGAACATGCAACTAATCTTTTAACCATAACAAGCTAGAGTCTTTGCGCACCCTGCTTGCCCAAATTATAGCTTCAAGTTTTAACCAAGTCAACTCTGTCTTCATTGTACACTACCATTAGTTTAAAGACCAAAGAGAAAACGATAGTGGCTGCAACAAAATCCATTTTACTGCTGCCATATATTAGACATTCTCCTCTGCAGTTTAGCTTTCATAAAAAAACACAGAGCATTACCTACGTACATAAGCTTTTTCCTCCATTTACCTTCCTCCCTCCTTTAATCTTGTGGGACTGAAAACTTAGTCCAAACACAACATTATTTCCAAAAAATTGAGGGCAAGTGGTTCTTGATGTTATTTTGAATCAGCTATGAACATTTCTTCTTTCCCCTTATCCTTCATTTGTAATTGCTAATGTACTTGAAACCCAGCAGGTGGAGAAGGACAAAAGTATCAAACAAAGTTGAAAATTCAATGACCACCACCCATATAGGCAAAGCAAGCATATCAAGGTTCCCAAAATCACAATACACAATTCTATTTTGCCAAATATGCAACCGTTATATACCATTTCATCCATTTTGTCAATTCATATCAAACAAACAAAATGGGTAACCAGCAACTAACATTTTGAGTCAAAGTGGAAGTCAATACATAAGTAAAATAAATAAAAGAGAAGCTTAAGGCTTACCTGAAATTCCTGACAAAGCTCGAACTCGATTTATAACCTGAGAGGCAGTCAATTGCTTACTGGAACCTGAACCAACCTGTTCACCTCGAAAGATCAGAATATATAACAGATGTTAGAAATAAATAGATTACTGATTTTTCTAGAACAAGAAAAGGGTAGTTAAAGAAAAACAGACTAATTGGAGACGAAAAGGGAACCTGAATAAGTGACTTGACAGTGTCAAGAGGGTAAGTAAGGGCAGAGGCGAATACCACAGAACCTGAAGCGGCAATTGCATGAGTTGCAAACAAATGGTTCTGCAACAACTCCTCCATTTCAAACCTGGGAAAAATTACAATTGTATATTTGTTATTTAATTCAGAGTAAAAGAATACAATTCCCTGCAAATACACGTAAAGAGGGCTTATAATGTAACTTACTTGTATCCAACTGAATCAAAACGAAAATGCTTTTATGCGATTTTAGCATGCATCAAGTGAAAGGAAAATGCTTGAGTCTCTCGGGAGCTTATTTCCCAATTTCTTTAATAAGGAAAGAAATCAAGATAGGCAACAGCTAGAGTCGAGGGAGTCGTATATCCAAAACATTCTTTCTAATTCTAAATTAAAAAGTCGAGGAATGGCAGTTTGACTCACTGAGTCAAGAAACAAAATGGATTTGATCATACGGAGAAGCAGAGTTAGGTAATTATATAGTTTTTTGGTTCATAGGTTTAGGCAGCGTTTGGTATTTTGCTAGGAATGGGATCCTTCGAAGATAATTTTGTGGCAATCTTTGTGGCGTGTAGGATAATATGAAAAGCTGATTATTATAATGAATGCGATTGTTTGGAAGATTATATCGTAGTACTTAGTTGAAAAGTAATGTGATAATTCTATTTTATAAGGTTATTTGTACTTTGTTGAGCATAAAAAGAATCGAGTGTTCTTATTTTTTTTTGTCATTTTTATGTAGTATTAAATTTTTTTATTAATTAGTTTAATGCATATTTGAGCATTTTAAATTGAGTTCTTTTAACTTATTTTTAGTATAAAAGTTCTATTTTGATCCTCTATTGAATTAGTCATTTTTTATTGAAGGTGTGTAAGCATGTAGGATTTAAATGACAAAAAATCATGTAAAGATGCTTAAAGAGATTTTTGACTATGCTGTAGTAATTTGAGTGTAACTTGAGTTGCAGAAGTATGATTGATGAGATTCTTAAATCACTAAAAAATTTAAAGGAAAGGTTACAAATTTGACGTTAAGCACTTCATCCAATTCAATGGATCATGGTCGAAATTGCATCGGAAGTTAAAGGATCATTGTAGACTACACAACAGCTAGGCAGAAAAGGGTAGCATGTAGCCTCCGAGGGCCAGTGTTGCAGTGCCACCCTTGTTCAACCCATACCCTAGCACAATCAAAAAGGGTCAGCGTTGTGGCGTCAACCTTTTAGCACTATGGTGACAACACATACATGAAAAATTTATGCACCCTCTGATTTTTACATCATGAGGCTATTATTGGAGGCATAAAAAAGGGCTTTTTACTCCAGGAAAAAAAAGTTGGACCAGACCTCATCTTGAAAAAAAAAGCTTTGAAAAAGGGAAAAAAAAGAAATCTTTGAAGATTGAGCTTAAAAAAGTTGCACCAAATACTGTCTTTCACTAGATTTGATTTCCTCTCTTTGTCTTTCTTTTGTAAAAATACTTTTTTTTTTTTTGAGATATTGAGTTTTATTATAGATTTTGTATATGGAAACTTGGTGACAGGGACCAATTCAAAATATGAAGAGACATATTGTAACCTAATTACTATATTTAGCGAAGTTACTTATCTTTCTAATTAGGCTATGATATGTTTGTTCATATTTTGAATTGGTCTCCATACTACAAAATATAAGACTTTAACTGACGGAAAAATTTGTTGATAACTTAATTTACCAACAGAATGTTGATAGAAATTTTCGTTAGTATTTAGCGAATAATACAATGATCAATAATGGCAATTCGGTCGGTACTTTTTAGAGAATACTCTATCGACATGTGCGGTTGATAAATCATTCAATCCGTCGAAATATTTTTTGGTTAGTATCAAGTGACATCCATTGCCATTATTCCAATTGGTTTTTCAACAAAATTACAATCGAAACTAAGAGTTTTGAGTTGTGTTAAATTTCATCGATAATATCCTCTACTCTGTCAACAATGGGGATGATTCTATCGATAATCATAAGTCCATTTTCATTGCTCAAAGCAAAAATTTATTAAGGTACCATGAAGATCCACCTATACTTGGTCCTTATACTTGTAATTCCTTTGCAAACAATGAATCTTAACCTTGGAGCAAACTAATAAAACGATTGTGTTTGGCCTGAAAATAGAAAATGGAGAGTAAGAAAAAGAACTAAAGGTATGACAAGGAAAAAAATTAAAGGTAGTGTCATAAATAAAATGATTTACTTAAATAGAAAAAGTGTTTTTCACTCTATATGAAAGGATTAGATTTAAAAGGAAAGAAAAGGAGCGAACTCATTCATTTTCCATTGTTCTTCCTATTTCCCTCATATCAAAAGAAAGAGAAGGAAAAAATACTATTTAACTTCCACTCTCTTTCTTCCTTCATCTTTCTTTCCTACCAAACATAGTGTAAAAGATAAAACCCAAGATTTTAGTGGGAATGAAACACCCCATGAAACCACCCCATTAATAAATGCACAATAATGAGTTCATTAAAGTGGTAGACTAGCTTCACCTTGTTGAGCCATGAGTTTTTTTTTTTAAATTGATTTTATATATAGAAAGTTTGTGGGAGAGACCAACTAATATATGACGAAACATATCATAGCTTAATTAGGAAGATAAATAACTTAGCGAAATGTTGTAAATACAATTGTAAAGACAACATAATAAACCTAGGAATCGATGGGAATAAAACTTAACTATAAAAATTGGATTTTTTCTTATCATTTTTCAACTTAAGCATTTTGAAAATTTATTATCGAGTTTGATAATCATTGTGAATGTTATTGAGATAGAAATTGTAGCATTGATGCAAGCACATCAAAACATTACCAATTCATTAAATCCTACTTTTCGAAAAATGCCAACTTTTTTAAAAATAGCCAAGTCCTTAGCATATTAACAAATAAG